TGTTACATGGCCTACTTCATCATTAATATCATTTACAAATATTTGGTCTTGTCCTGGTGTTTTTTCTGTCTGTGGTCTTAGCTGCATTTATTTTATCTTAATAAGAATGTAGATGAAATTTAAAAACATAGTTCTTGTCTTTTAGGCAAATTTATTTCATAAGGTGAATGATTTTATTGCTTCAGTATGTTGTTCATGAAGTAGCTGCTAAGATATTTATGGATGTTTCAAGCATTTCTAGTAGAAAAGATATTGATTAAATGTAACTATTTTTTCCACTATAATGTCCATTAAAACAATAGCTAATTCCTTAAAATAACTGGAACTGTAGCAGAAGAAGAGGGAGAGGTGGTTAGGATGGGCATGCAGGCCCTGAGATGCCTGGGAATAGGTGTGGGTGGCTTGTGTCTGAGAGCACTGCAGGTAAAGGTGTGAATGTCAGGTGTAAATGTCACTGACTTCAGGTTGTGCTATGGAAAGCCTGGTCACTCCTCTGAGGGACAGAGGACCTGTCTCCTTCTAGCTGTATGGCACTGAGGAAGTCACTTCCCCACTCTGATCCTCATTCTGACTGTCAAATGGGATGGAGTCAGTCTCCTGATCTTTAAATCCTCTTCCTCTCTCAGCCTGTAGTCCTTTGAGATAGGAGATGAAGCTGGCCCTCCATTTAGGTCTGTAGGGAAACTGAGTTTGCTCCTAACACAGAACATTATCTCCTAGGGTATATATAATACTACTTTTTTACCTTCCTGTTCAAAACTTTAAAATATCTTTCCTTTGAACTGCAGAGCTCTTAGTACTTGGCCAGTCTTAGTGGTTCAATAAAGATCTGAATTTAAGATCTGTGTGCAGGATATATCTGTTGGGCCAAAGGTTCCTATAAAACCCCATTTCTGAGGAAATGGGAAAGACACATTTCGTTCAGCATTAAGTCGGTAGAATTATATTTATTTACTTCCTCAGTTTTAGATTTAGTAGTAAAGGATACAGACTTGGGTTGATACTTTATAGTCTATGTATGTGTGAATATATATATATTCCATATTTATAGAATATTTATTTCTGGGAGATAGCAATACAAGGAATTTGATCTAAACTGTCTGAAACTGCAAGTGTCTCTGTAAACTACTGAAGCTACTTTGTAACAAAATGCATTTTCCAGTGACTATGATGTGATAACTAATACAAAACCAAATTCTACTCAATTGTGGTACTCATGAAGCAAATGACCAAGAGCACCAAATTTCCACTCTGGAAAATTCCATTAATGACAAAGAAGTCCAGGCAGTTTTTAGTCACTCATCTCAATTACTATTGCTGCCCATCCATTTCTCCCTGATTCTATAGAGTGGATTTATTTGCACAATAATCAAATCACATGCTCTGTTCTGGCTATATCAAAGTACATAGATCAGTTTTCAGACTACATAGGTTTGGTGCTGCATTTTCTACACCATTTAAATCTCTTATTGAAGCTTCCTTTTCTTTTAGCAAGGGGAATTTTAAAGAGAAACTTTTTGCATAAAATTAAAAAAAATTGCACTAGAATGTGTAAAGTTTTGTAAGCCAATATTACCTCATAAACATAATATAAATATAATAAAAATTAAACTGTTTTGAGTTTTTTTTACAAATCTAGGAAACCTGTTATTGTAGAGTTTGGGATTTTATTTATTTTTTATTATTTAATCAAGTTGGGTTTTAAGTGATTTTACTCAACTCTCTAAATTTAAGAGCAGGTAATTACAGACCTCATGAAAAGGAAGCATGTGAAAATGTACCAGGCTTACTCCACAGCTTACTGATCATGGAATCCTACAACTCATTGAACTCAGAATGCTTTGTATAAAATAAATCCCAATGTTCATAGGACTTTTTAAATGGTGATATTTAAAAGGCTATCTATGTCACATTGAAATAAGGAGCATATCCGAAATGTGAATTGTTTCCTTCATAAAGATATTCTCATTTTCAGAAATAGTCAGCTTAATGCCTTGCAAACACCCAAATCCCAATGACTTGTGTCTCACCTCTTAGCTGCACTATTGAAAAACTTGAGATAAGGGACAGCCCAGTGTTCCTATAGCTTGGGCAAGTTACTAAGTGAAATGTAATTACCAAGATATCAGCAATGAGGGGGTAGAGGTGGTATGGGCTAATGGCTCCCTGGACAGTTGCTTTAAGATGCTCTCTCTAGCAGTAGAGGAGAGATGGTCAGAAATTGGCATGCAGTTCCTGAAGCACCTGGGAATAGGGATTGAGAAGACTTCCATCTGAGAGAGCTGCAGAGGGGAGCATGAATGTCCTCAGGACATAGACAAAGTTTTATTTGAGTCAATGAGGTAAAGGGAAGTTTAAGAAGGGATGGGAGATGTATAAAGGACTTATGAGGGGGTGTGAGCCTGAGTGCCCCATGGAGGAGTTTACAGAGGAGGTAAAGGGATGAGCACTGACTCAGTCTGAGGCATCCATGAGCAAAGTTGGGGTGAGAGTCCCAATAAGAAGGGATGACTCAAGATGCTGCTGAGGACTTACTAAGGTGGCTGACAAAACAGGAAGTGAGGCGGGTTAGGATAAGCACTCAGGATCGCTTGGAGGAGAATGGGAAGAAATTCTTGGCTTAATGACTGGATGGTAGCTTGTTCTTTCCATTCCTGATGTCTCACACAATTGGGTTGCTTTACTGTCTGCAAACTCAACAGGGTTGTTGTCAGTTAACTGAAATAATATGACTAAACAGTATTTGTCTGTCATTGCATTGTCATTTGACACATTTTTTTTTACAAATATTTCTGTAGCACCAACTGTATGCAGAGCATTTTGAGGCCTTGTCAGGAATGCACATTCAAACACACAGTTGTTACCTGTGCCGGAGTGACTTGTAGTCTTATAAAAGAGAAATGCGTTCTGTTTAGAACACATTTTTGTCCATATGGCAAAAGGACACTATTCACATCCTCTAAATCAACAAATTAATGTAACATAGTCCCTTTTTTAAAGAGAAGATGCATTTACTTTTTCAAAGTCATCATAGGAAAACAGGTCTTATCAATTTTAGTTTTGAAGAAGATGAAATTTGTCCTCCCCTGGTGGCACAGGCTGTTGAGCACCTCACTGTGAAGCTGTCTACAGCCTCTGAAGCGCAGGTTCGATCCCGGCCAGCTGGCAAGGGTCCCACACAGCGCGGCAGACCTCTTCTATCTCGCTCACTGCTACCCTCAGCAGTGTATTTCGTCAGTCTGCCTGTTCTGTTCCCCGCTCTGTCTCTGGTGAATCCTCTCACCCTCCCACACATCTGGCTTGTACCCAGGTTCTTGTATAAATAAATAAATCTTTAAAAAACAAAAGAAGATGAAATTGTGGCTTTATCCATAGCTTTATAAACTTATTTCCTGCCAACTTTTTCTATGATTAGAAAATTAATTTTTTAAAAAGTAGAAGTCAAGTAATAGTTAAATAATTTCTTTGATCTGCCTAGAGAGTAAAGTAAATCAAGCAGCAATTTAATTCCCAATTAATTTGCAACACCCATTAAGTTAAGTATTAGATATTAGCAGCATACCTAATTCTCTGCAAGAATGACATTTGTCTCTTTATATATGTTCTCTACCTAATGAATACACTTCTCTTATATTCAAGTGTTGCTACTACAGCCTGGAAAATTAATATATATTCTTATATTCATTAATATTGTTGCTCATAAAAAACCTTTAGATTTTTATCATTCTTGAGTTCCCAGAGGCCTATAGAAGCAGGCATAGCTCCAAACCACATGAATTATCAGGAGGGAAATCCTATTAAAGTAAAAACTTAATCACCACTTGCATTTATATCAAGTTGTATCTAAAGGGAAACTGTCACAAGTATCCATTAACATAGAATGGATAAGCCTGTGTCCATTAACATAGAATGGATAAGCTAAAGGTGGTGTAGTCCTTTCCCAGGATATCATAAGGTAGAAAGAGCAAAAGAAATACGACTGTATGCACCTTGTACCTCAATAAAACCCAATCTGAAGGACATTCTTGAAAGACATAGTTTATGGAAGAATATACATAGTATGACTCCATACCAGTAGGTACAAAACCAGGCAAGGCCAATAATATCTTAAATACTGCCATTCAGGGAAGAGGACTTCAGGAAAGATCGGTGTCCCTGACCTGAGGAACCCTGTACTAAGGATTCCACATTTGATGTGCAGTTGTGTAGTTGTGCAGTTGTGTCCTCTAGTGTCTCCTTTTAAGCTTCTCCACTGGCTGTGGCCTGAGTTTTGCTTCACTCTGGTTTCCACTTTGCAGCAAATGAGCTTCAAGAAACCCTTAACTGCCTCTGGCCTCGCTCCCCCAGAGGGGGCATGGATGAGTGACATGAACCAGCTCTGCTCTAGACTGAGGGGGGAAATATTGCTCTTATCCAGAAACCTCTCCTTTACTCTTACCTCTTGGCTTTGGAGAAAGAAAAGGGTGAAGGAAGCTGGCCCTTAGCACAGTCTAGATATTTCTATCAGTGATACTCAATCGTTGTCTTACCCATCTCACTAGAGGTGACAACTGGAGTGAGGACGAATCTTTAATCAGCAATGCACTGCCCCTTGTGTTCTTTAAACTTCAGGAGACTGAGCAGTTTAACAAAAAGGTAGGGATGCCTCCCTTAATAGACACATGAGTGACAAATATATGCAAAGTATCTGTGGTGTCAGAGGCCTGTCATTTCTCCCCTTTCCTTGTCTGTGAAGACATTAATGCCATCTTGAAGGCAGTGGAGAGGTCACTACTTTAATTCTATTAAAAACAACAACTGAATTCTGGAAAGCTCAGCACAATGCTTTCCAGACATTTGCGGTGAACTGTATAAATGGCCCCCAAGCTCCTCCTTGGGCTTGCTGTGTGCAGTGGAGAAAATCTGGGCCTGCAAGTTCAGGAAGCAAGCCACTGGCTCCCAGCGTCTGCCTTCCCCTCAGTATGTCTCAATTCTAATTCCCTTCTGTTTTTGTCTTACAGTTGTTCAGCATATCAAACGACATAACATCGTTCTGAAAAGGGAGCTAGGCGAAGGAGCCTTTGGAAAAGTTTTCCTAGCTGAATGCTATAACCTCTACCCTGACCAGGACAAGATATTGGTGGCAGTGAAGGTAAGAGAACACTCCAGATTGTCTCATTATCCTTGGTCACACCAATGTGTGGAAGCGTTACTTTATTTTATCTTAATTTATTTGAATGACCAGGAGCAGATTATATGGCTGTGATGGCTGTGTTCAAATTCATTTAGCTAAATGATTAGTAGGAAGGCTATTTGGACAGAGAGGTTCTTCTTAGGGGTAACCTACCATCTGCAGGCTGTGAATTGCTGTGAGTTACTCTTCCAAGTAAATGCTAACTAAATTTTGGATGGAGGTCAGGGGGTCAAACAGAATTCAATCTACTAAGTCTTGGAGTCTCCACCTGTTTTTCAGACTGCTTGACACTTGAGTCAATCTCAGCTGGAGTTTGTATGTGTTTGAGGTTCTGGAAGGGAGGATCACGGACTTTACTTATCCTCTCATTCTCTGTTCTGCTGCCATGCCTCCCCCGGTCTCTTCCAAATGTTTCCAAGCCCCCGGGATTTTATATAGCATAGGCAGGGTTCACTCCTGACATGGATGGTAATCTACAGCCCAAGGAGACACAATCAAGAAATCTGACGGCCTTTCATCATATCATTTCCCCATACCCTCAACCAGGAGCTCTGATCTTCCATAAGACAAACATTATTGAAGGGAATGAAATTACCACTGAGCTCTTGAAAACACAAGAATTAACAAAAATCAGCACAAAGGCTTTTGCAGATCTCTTATGTATGCATTATCAAAATACTAAAAAACACTTCACCAAGGTATTGAATAATATGTACATACCCATATATAATATAAACACAGACAAGAGATATATGTTTATAAAATGAATTAAAGTGCCAAGTGAATGTGGACATGACTAATGTAATAAAATATTACTTCTTGGCTTCCTAGAAGAGCTTTGTTTGTTTCTACGAAACACAAAATAATTTGTGTAAATAGCACATGTTTACTCATCAGAACCAGAACAAAACTTTTCATTTTTGAAAATCAGATATATATTCCATTCCACTGTATTTAGCATTAAAATATGGAGTATACATAATGGGTAATTGAAAAAAGAAATCAAATTATTCTTGAAGTTAACCCATCCTGCAGACTACACACAGCTCCTGTTGAAGTTCATCCAAAGGAGAAATTGCATTTGCTTTCCTTGTCATCAAAAGTAACTCAACTGAATGTCACAGATATTTCCAGATCCTCAACAAAGACTCCTAAACACTGCACTTTGGAGTGAATAAAGGACAAATCTTTCTAGGGGTGAAAAATGTAGTACATATAAGATAAGCACCATCTCGTTAGAAGGTGTCAAAGTGGGAATCCTGCAGTGACCTGGGGACATCTAACTCCTACTGTTAGTGCTTCCTCTTTTCTTTCATTCACTCAAAAAACTTGTTATAAGCACAAAATTTTTAGAACATTTGACAGTGTTACATCTGTGGTCTTTGCTTTCTTCTGCTGCATTTTTTCCCCTTTTGGATCAATGGGCCCCCAAAATGCCTGTATTCTTGTAGATTTATTGACTGATAAAATGTTAGAACTGGAAAAAGTTTTGGAACATTGAATCCTAATCTAGTCTTGTGCTAAAGACAAGGAGACTAAAGACTGGGATTCACGTTCTGGGTCCGTGTTTCTATTGCCATTTGGAGGCCACTTTGGGAGTTAAATTGGGCCTTCAGACTCTGAATTTACTTTATGGGATCACAGGTGGCGAATCTTTGAATATAAAATAATCGTAGGAGATTAGGGAATGCCAGATGACAGTGTAGGAATAGCTGAGAGAACCCAACCATATAGAGAAAGCCTCCCCAAAATTCCAGTGTGTGTATTCTTTCACGTTGGAGTCATTGTTCTGTGCCGACTTCTCTGTACTTACAATCCCTTTAAGAAGAGGGTGCTGCACAGCTAAATACAGGGCACCATCAACTCACACATTACATTTCTTTTCAAACACATACTAAAATAGAACTTTGGGGCTTATAATGATAAAGGGCCAGAGACAGCGATGTGCAACCAATTGCCTTGCCCAAGGTATGCTTCTGTCTGGTCATACCTCCCATCACCACCATCAGGGAGATTACTCTCTGGTTTAAATCCTAATCATAGTACTAATCTCACCTCGGACCCAGACCCAAAACTTAGTCCTCATACATCTCCTGACTCTGCCAAATAAGTGCCGACAAAGTGATGCCATATGATGGTTATGGGTATTTGCTCCTTAATCAACATTGCCAAAAAAATTTAAGAAGGGATGTTTTTATCAAATCTTGACCTCTTTGCTGCCCCTGTTCTTGTTGAAATTCAAGTAAAACTATCCTCTCCACAAGGGAGAACAAAATGATGATGGCTGAACCCTTCATTCCAAATCCAAGATGACATACTTAGGAAGACTTATCTCAGTGACCTCAACTGTAAATTTTTGTTGAGATTGGAGGTTTTGCTTATGTTTTCTAGAATGATTTCAAGCTTCAGAGAGGATGCCCATTTTAACCCTCTGTGTTCAAAGGCTGCAGCCACACAAGGGAAAGTTTGAATCTCTCAGGAGAAATTGCATCAGAATAACAGGCAGACCTTTCCCAGAGTTACCTCTAGTCAGCCTGGCTTGCTCATCCTCAGGGCTGTGGGCATCTAAACATGTATTTAAAAACTAAATGAGCTGGGGAGTAAAATTTCTATGGTTCAGCCCTGACCATAATAAAGGGATGTATTTTAAGCAATGACAAAGTGACTTCCAGGGCCAGCACAGCCTGTCACCTCCAAGGAGCAACTGCCAGGGCTGCTGCTCTTCCACTGGAGGCACAGGGATGTTTGACAGTCTTTCTGCCAGTTGCCTAGCAACCCCTGCAGCATTGATTATTCATGCTAAGAAATAGCAGCTATTGTCCTTTTTCCTTTTCTAGAAGGAGCTGACTGGTTTGAAATTCAAGGCTTTGCTTTCAGATTGATAGATGTCAAATTTCCATAAATTCTAGTGTCTCTTGCCCCAAATGATTTAAGAATTTGAGGGATCCACAAGAACTAGTTTAAATGGACATGAGCCTAAGGCATATGCAGGGAACTCAAGGGCACCCGCAGGCTGGGTATGCCTCTCACATTAGAGTCTGCTTATTCAGATCCAACCAGATTGCTCTTTGCTTGATATTTTTGGATGACCTTTGTTTTTTAGGGAAATGGATTTGTCAACCCTTTTTTTCCCTTTGACAATGAATTACAGGTGAAGAAGCCATAGACACCTGGATGAGAAGCAGAGAAACCAGTCTTTGATCAAAATGAGTTACTTCACCTTTAAGTAACTCAATTGCCAAGGAAACGCTTCATTGCAGTTTCTCTGCATTAGCTGTGCTTGCATTAGCTATTTTTGATTCTATCCAACCAGCATGTCAATAGTTACAATTCCTAAAACATCTCCCTGTACTATGAATGCATGCTGATTTTTTTTTTTTAAAACAGAACCACAAGTGTGCTTTGTAGGATTTGTGGCATCTCCTCCCCTTCTCCACCAAATGCAGTGTATTTCTAGAAATATAAAATGTTGAATATAAGCAAGAACATAGAAATCATATAGATAACGCAAGTCTCATGTTTTATAGAAGTGAAAAACAAGCTAGGGAAGTTTACTTGACTTCCCCAAAGTGTAAGCTGCAGTGAATTATAGGTGTTCACAGAAAACCTGAGTTCAGAACCTTTTTTGTGATCTAATAGAACTTTTGTTTTTTCATGTTTCTGAATATCTTGTCAACAGAGGAAATGATGCTTTTCTTCACAAAAGGTCTGGGAGAATTGATTGATGAACCCTCTGACCCATTACTGTGTGGTAGCCGAAATGGGGTATCCAATATATTGTCACCATCCCCCATGCCCAGCCCAGCTCCTTGGTCTACCTGTCAGTTCTCACTTGGTCTACTTGTCAGTTCTCACTTCTCTACCTGAAGTTTTCCCGTTGCCTGCTCCCTTATGTAAGACAGCCACCCTATTGTATTCTAGTACAGCATCTGTATACTGCATAGCACTTGTAAAAGTTGTTAATAACATATGCATTCACAGGCTCATTTAATCAATGGCATCAACATTTGCCTCCTCTGTAAGAGTGGCCTACTCCCCAGGGAAGGAACCAGGCCTCTTAGCACATTGCCTAATATGTGGTAGCCTTGTTAATGAATGAAGGGCTGGATGAATAGAGATATGTGTATGTATGTATATATGTATGTATGGATGGATGGATGGAGGGATGGATGGATGGATGAATGGACTACATAAATAGAAGCCTTTCGAAAAGGTAAAGGCATTTCAGCCAGGCCTGGGTCACTTATATGCTCTGAAATAAGATGTCAGCTCTACCCAATACATATGGACTGAGTGTGGAGAAGCACTGTTTCCCCAGGGGAATATTATAGATGCGATAACCAAACAAAGGGGAAGATATCTTTTGGAGGGAAAATGAAGGGAAACCTGCTCAAATAGGAGCTCTGGGAAAGCTAGAATTCCCACCAGTCAGGACCTAAAAGCTCACTGTGGATCTGAGGTAGCCCACTGACTATCCCTTACTTAGCTCCCCTGTAGGAGACCACAGGGATTCTCCTGCTAAGTGGTGCAGCTGCCCCTTGCTTGCTACTCAGCACTGACTGCTGCTCCATCCCAGCTGCTGCTCCAGAATCTGTTTCACCCACATTCTCATACTTCAAGAAGGGACGCACTATGTGTCCAATTATTCCAATCCATTTTCATGCCACACCACTCACCTGTGGCCCAGCCATCCACGGTGGCCAGTGCTACAACTAGAGCCACTGTGTCAGAATATATACAAGGCTGGAAAAGTATTGGTGCTCAAAACGGAAAGCTCATTGTTTCCAGTTCTGCAACAGTGAAACAATTCTTAAATGGGGAAGCTCCTCAAGAGTTCATCAATTCAGGGCTTGTATCTAGGCAAGTTTATTTCTAAGACTGATGGCTATTTTCTCTTTACATGTTTAAGACAGTTGTCACATAAGTCCTCACATCTTGATAATAGTGAGGTCTCTCCC